GTTTCACTGAGTACCTATTACATTTCAGAAATTACTCCACTTCGAGGAAAACCACTAACCGAATTTCTCCTGTTTTACAAATAACCTTAATTGTTGAAACTATATTAATTAGGTCCACATCACGATTTCTAGAAATAATAACCTTTATCGATTTGTAGCTCCATATGATGATTGTAGTTAATTATCAAGGACATTTTGATCATTCATTCTTGTTTCAAATCTTTTCTTATTCGTAATCTGTGGGAGACGTAAATAACGAAAATAGTCACACCACTTTGTTTCAATTGACGTATTTACACTTTCAATTGAAACTGTACAAACGTATATTCGTGTGACATCTGTGTGAAGCTTCTTAAACGTATCACAAACATGTCGATTGGTGATGAACAAATTTGTCCAATGCATGGATCATTGATGAAAATAGTCCAATATAATTTACTAAATTACATTTCACTTGACACAAACGAAACCACAGATTTTTAGTTGATTGATTAGTGGATAGTGTACAATGTGATTTATGTCAAGTCGTTCTTTGTATTGATCAAGTTTTAATGCGGCTTGAATTACTTTTTTTTAGTTAGCGGTTTTTTTAGCGCGTTAATTTTCTACGGGATATGGTCGCTAACCCCATGCCCAACCCTCCTCCTTTATCTGGGCTTGGAACCAGCAGTAACCCAAGAGAGGCTACAGGCGGATTTTCTATGTGGTTTCTAGTAAAAGTGAATTGATATTCTAAGCATTATATTGAGATGTAAGATGGTGGTTGGAGTAGTGGACAGGAAACCCTGGACTAAGGTTTCATGCTATATGATACTCGTTAGCAAGTAGTACCCATACTCCTCATTTCTGCAGCAATTTGGAAGGCTCTCCCGGTGTCCCACATTGTACGAACATTCCATGTACCCAAATAAATGGTTGCTCTGGTTGTCAGAAGGGCCATCGGCCTCGTAACTTCCGAAGGAATTCGACTTTCATCATGAGGCATCATAGTTCTTCTAAATGAAGACCTTCTGACTCCTAGGGCAGAGTTTAAAAGGTTTGAATAATTTTTTATGGTTACCGTTTTTTTAGCGAGTTAGTTTTCTACGGGATAGGGACGCTAACCCCATGCCCAACTCTCCTCATTTATCCAGGCAGTAGCCCCGGGAGGGACTTCAGGCGGAGTTAGTAGTGCCATAACCTTGATGAAAATGATTCTCATTAATTGATCCGATCATCTGTCTCCCAGCTTTACAGTAAGAGTCATTACTGTTGGGCTATTCGCAAACGAGTGTCAAATGCTATAAAATCTTAGTTTAGGGTATCCTGATGACAAACTTATTTTAAATATTCATGTCATGTATACAAATGTATGTCGCTTTATGTATAATATACATATGCACCATAGAATAATTGATCATTTTTAAGATAACCACAACAACTGAAACATGAAACTAGTTAATTGAATCATTTAACCTTAGTGATTAGTACAAAATTTCAATTGAAATTGAAATTTCCATGTTTTCACATAAAATGTTCACTATAGCGGCTAGTTTAACTGATCTTATATAAAGTATGTATGTTTTAAGTTTGAAATGTAGGGTGGTGGTGGTGGTAATGATGATGATGGTGGGGTGAATATTAAAACCTATTGAGGACTTTGAAACATTGTTTATATTACAAATAAATGGTGTGTTTTTATTGATTTTAATAAAAACGCAATATTCATTCATTATTGATTTAATTTTATTAAAAATGTGGAGGGGGGGGGTTGTTGGCTTGCTTTGTCGTTAAGAGAAAAAAAAGTTTATTCTATTTACATATTCTCTCTCTTCAGAATATGTATGATCATTGTCGTAATATAAAGTACAAATGTGAAATTGTCGAATAATAATCTGATACAATTAGTTCCCTTTATAAATTTAAATAAAGCTAGAACAAATATGGATACAGAATAATATGAATTCATTATATTTCATAGTTTCTCATTAGTTGCTTACAATCAAATATCTAATAGAATTTTATATAGAGGTAAGATATAGTGTGAACTGATTGATATAATTGAATGTAACGGATAGCTTCCAAATAATCTGGTATGATAGAGAGTTGGAAGAGTCTATTCTACTTCTCGAAATGCTCTCATATATAATTAGTTAAAGCCTTCAAATAAGAGAAATAAATCTATCCACATGTCAAATCATTTTTCATCTAATTGGTGAAACATGGAGATATGTATGTTCCGGTGTTTAAATACTAGTCATGTCGTTCTGAAGAATATTTAGTTAAATTAATGGCATAATTTAACAGAATATTCGATCAAATTGCCCTTAGCTGCCCTGGTACGGTCGAGGATGGGGAGAGTTCACTCTCCCACTCCAAATGCTTTCACATAGCCACGCGTATACAGCCACTGCCAAGGAAGTCATACTCACTGTCTTCTCGTGATGGAGGTGTTGTTTACGAAATTGAGAGGATAAAAAGAGAATGTCCGGTGCATTAACCGGGCTGGTAGATATGGAGGATTCACTTAAGTGAGTTGGAAAACTCTGATTCGAAACCAATGGTGCACATGGTTTCCAGGATCCTGAGGGAACAAATGGCGTTTGAAGTAATAGTTTGTCACGGGCTACCATGTTAGTGCATCTCCTTATGTTGCTCCACTGCCTTGTGGATCAGACCTTTATGTCTAAGGCCCCCTAAGAAAACCACCTGTTTCGATCTGGGAACCCGGGCAGTATGACAGACCACACACAAATCAAGTGACTTGTGTGGCTGATATGTATTCGGTGTCCATTTGTACCAATATTTCTGTGTTCAAATAAACAAATAATGCAAAGAATTGGGATGACAAAGGTTATCAATACTAACTATTTATATACAAGAACAGGTTGGATGTCTTTGGTGTTAGAACAAAAAAACATGATGAATGTGTGACATAATAATTAAGTGAATTTCAGAGACAGATAAGATAAATTATGTGATAATTTTCAAGGTAACGAAGGGTTTGCACAGGATTTCTGGAATTAAAAAGAACTGGGTGGTTTAAATGTACATAAAATAAGAATTCGGTAAAGAGAAATATAACAGACTGAACATTAACAAAACTAATGACCGAAAAATTGAATTACCAGAGTAGTAATAGGTTTATTAATATCTCTTTTTGAATACATAGATCAGGTTTGAGTACGTTTATCGCAATCGCTTCAGCAAACCGAAGAGAAACAGTATTTCTTTGTCTGCTAATAATCTTAAAAGCTTGAGGAATGTCAATGGTATGCTTGGTGTCAAGTAATTGCCAAGCTATTGCAATGTTAAGAGCCATTGACCCTCGTAGTCTCAATTTCTTTAGAACGTGCTCGGATATACGAACATATACTCTTCTCTTGACCCTCCCAATATATGTGCTTTTGCATATATATGTAAATTGGCAAATGCAGTTAGAGCTACTGACAAAAGAGGACCTGTCAATTTTAGTTTTTTAAGCGAGCAGTTCGTTTCCCATAGCGTCATCAATTTCGCTGATGAATAGGTCACCTTCAACCTGTAATTTATCATGTAATTAGTTATTCCAACAATTTCATTTCCTGCAATTGGTTCCCTTTATGAATTTAAATAAAGCAAGAACAAATATTGGTGCAGAATAGTATGAATTCATATTATTTCGAGGTTTCTCGTCAGCTGCTTACAAACCAAAAAATGTGATAGAATTTTTACATTGAGATAGAGTGAGAACAATTGACATAGATGAGTGTAAATAACTGGGTTACAATAATATATATATATATATGCTAGAACAGGTCAGAGGTCAAAAGGAATTAATTCGGGTTGGGTGGTGTAATAATGCAATCGAATAATCATAAGATAGGTTACGTAATAATAATGAAATAGAATTTAAAAACTTGAGATAATTTAGGAGGATCAGGTGGTGGAAATGCGTAAATAATAATATGGTTTAAGAATTATGTAATAGGGGAGGAATATAAATATTTTAAAATAAATAAATAAAATAATAAAGATAATAATAATAATAAAGGGTTACCAGGGTAGTGATAAGTTAATTAAAGTCTCTTTTTGAATGCATAAGTCAGGTTTAAGTATTTTGATCATAATAGCTTCAGCAAAACGGAGGGTGGTCGTACTTCTTTGTCTATTGATAATTTTGAAAGCATGAGGAATGTCGATGATGTGCCCGGTGTCATGTAGATGTCGAGCTATTGCGCTGTTGAAAGCCTTGGTCCCACACAGCCTCAAGTTTTTTGGAACATGCTCAGAAATGCGGACATATACTCTTCTCTCAGTTCTTCCAATGTATGTGTTTTGGCACGTACATGTAAATTGGTAGATGCAGTTTGAACTACTAAGAAAAGAGGGCTTGTCGATTTTGGTTTGTTGAAGTGAGCAGTTCGTTTGCCATACTGTCATAAGTTTTGCTGCTGGGTAGGTGACTTTCAACGCAGAGTTTATTCTGTGATTGATTATTCATTTCCTTTGAAATGTAAGCATAAAAAACAAATTCTTTTTTCTATTCTATCATATTTAACCCGATGGTTAATTTTGGCTTATTTCTAGATATGCATTTTTCACATAGGCAATTTGTATTGAAAGCAATTTCATCTTCCAAGCATTTCTTTGAGCAAATTTTGCGTGCACGGTCAAATTATTAATATATTTACAAGCATTTAACCCCTTTGATTAGTTAGTGAGACTATAATTTATGAATGACTTTTGAGTGACACCAAAGTGACCTTAAGAGTGTTCACCTAATAACTAGGACCAAATGATGATTATAAACCAGTGTAAGAAATTTGAATTATGATTTACAGTTGATCATTAAGGTTAGGATATAGATTTACAGTTTTCATCACTAACTGATATCAGTTATAATGCCAAAATTCTACTTAGCCAAACGGATGGGTGAATTTCGCGCCAAGATCCAAGACCTGTTATCTTATACCTGATTAGTTCGTCTATAAATTATAATCTCGTCGATTAGTTTTGATCAAATGAACAAACTCATTTTTGGATGATTATTATTATTATTATTATCATTATTATTATTATTACACTAAAATAGTATATATAGTATAGTTATAATGATGTCCTATCCATTATTACAACAGAATCAATACAATATCAATTATATTAAACAACCCGCTAAAATCATTCAAAATAATCAATCATAATAATCTTAAATTATTATTAATAAAACAATATTCATTAAAACAAAAAAACATCAAGTATCTTGGATAATAAAAAAAATTATTTTTTTCATTTCTTTATTCATTTAATATTGATTAAATGTTGTCAAGGTAACTTTGACAATGGAATGTATCCCATTGGATACTAATTCAATGATACATGATTATGATATTGTTCAGATAATATTTCATAATCTAATATATATGTTACTATTTTACCTGGTTCAATAGTTAATATAACATTGCTTGATTTTATATTATTTCTATGACATAATTGTTCCCTTTCATAAGTTTGATTAGATTGAAAATGAGTTTCAGTAGGCCATTTTAATCTATTCTGTAGAGATTCACATTTTAATTGATCTCCAGTTAATGTTACTTCTTTCATACCAATTACTGTTATACCTTTAATTAAATGAGTTAAATCTAAATTGAATGGTTTCATTGATAATTCATCTGTAACTGGTTGAAGATTTTCTAATCGAATTAATATTTGATTTGGTATTCTTGGATCAGATAATGAAACTCTATTTAATGGCCATGAAGTCAAACTTAACAAATGAATATGTTCTGGTAATGCTATATTGATACCACTCCAACCATTTACTTCAATTGATTTTGGTTGATGTTTGGCTTGCATAAATAATGGTATAACTGGTTTACTAATCATTTGAGCAGTTATTCTATCATTGGATTCAATAATTTCTAATTCATCAAATCGTATTTTATGTATTCCACGTACAATAAGACCTTGAGATGATACAAGGAAATTTGAAGTAAAATGATTATTGATTAAATGATAAACAAAAAAAGGTTTGTAAGAAATAGTGGAGCGTTCCATATTTTTCACGCCTAAACCATTCAACTCAGAGAACAAATCTCCATTAAAATCATCTATCTGAGCTACAAATCTTCTCCATCATCTCAAATCATATGAGCGTAATACGCTTCTCATAGTTTGAAAATGGGAGAATTTCACCAAAAGGCAGGCTACCACTCGAGAACAACTGTACTTACTCCACGAAGCAACCAAACCATCCAGCTCAGAGAATAAAACTCCGTCAAAAAAGCTTATAATCATTCAAAGACTTGATAATGGCTTTTTAATTAGTGATCACGACAACTGTGTTTCGTTAACTGAAGGGTAAGCATTATAAGATTACAGCTGTTCGATTATTAACATGACTATGGTCAAATGAAAAAATAGAACGTGACACATATCTGAACTGATTCAAACAGCCATACCATATAAGTACAATTAGATGCAAGATTATTATAGGTGTGGTGCATGCTACTTATATTGATATAAGTAGCATATGACGCGAGTTAAAAACGTAATGTCTGGCAGCAGAAGATGGGGAAGATCAATAAAGGAAGACCGGAAACACAATGCAAGTTGTAAGAAAACGCATGAGCTATGAAATTTGAGACAAAGCATTGATGTTTGCAACAGAAACAGTACGGTTTGATGGTATGCATTGATATTTTGCAAATGAATGATGTACTATATGGGTTTTTTTTTATTTTATCAAGTATCTCTGTAATGTTGAGCAAATACGGTAGTTCTTATCTATGTTCTCCTCCACTAAAGAGGTAGTAATGCTACTTGTCATAGTAGGAAAGATAAGACAAAGAAGGTACGATGGTGAGACTATAATTTATGGACGACCTTTGGTCGATGACCTTGGGACTGTCCACTTAATAACTAGGACCAAATGAAGGTTATAAGCCTGCATGAGGAATTCGAATTTCATTTACAGTTAGTGGTTAAAGTTAGTAATTATATTTAGGGTTTTCATCACGAACTGACATCAGCTATAATGTTAAAAGCCGAGACCTGTTTTCTTATACTTCATTGGTTCGTCCATAAATTATAGTCTCACCAATATGATTCTAGAAAAAAATACCCAAGCTGCCAGCTTTGGGGAAATCCTCAAAGTGAAAAACCTTCCCCAAAGTTTGGGGAAATTTTGGGGAATTTCGGGTAAATTTTGGGGAAATCCCCAAAACGAAATAGTTTTCATCAAAGTTTGGGGAAGCTTCCCCAACGTCTGGGGAAATTTCGGGTTTTTAGTCTCATTTCCCAAAAATTTACTATAGAGGCTTCCCAAAATGGGCCCAATTTTCCCCAAAGTTGGCAGCTTGGGTAAGAACTGATGAAATAAGAAATATTTTCATAAGATTGTTAAGAAACTTAGTGTTGTGATTTGACTAAATGCTGATTCTATTATTAGCATAACTGTTTGTTGTTTGACTACAATCTATTACTTTTCACAATGGAACAAGACTGTTATACCGAGAAATGGAGGAAAGAAGATCACTAGTTAAAGATTGATTTACTCATCAGTGATTGATTAAAATGATACCAAGAATAATAAAGAAATGTATAACATTTTAATAGTTAAGATCAAAGATCATTTTGAACGTATTGAGTGATTAGCAGTTAACAGTAGTTGGTCAATAATTTAATGTGCATATAATTTACGTAACTAATTAATCAAACATCTTAGGTGTGAGATACAACTCATTATTAAATTACATATTTTTCATTCTTTAACGCTTATGACCTAAGAGAATGCCCCCAATTGTTCTGGTACGGAGGAGGGTGGGGAGAGTCTACTCTCTCAAATGGACACGCGTATACAGCCACTAACAGGGAAGTCCTACTCACTGCACTCTCGTGGTGGAGGCGTTGTTTACGAAATTGAGAGGATGAAAAGCGAATGTTCAGCGCTTTAACACGATTGGTGGACACAGAGAGTCCACATAGGGGAGTTGGAAAACCCTGATTCCAAACCAATGGTGCATATGGACTCCAGTATCCTGAGGGAACAAATAGCGTATGAACCTATTTTCGGTCACCAGCTACCACGGTAGTGCATCTCCTTATGTTGCTCCACTGCTTTGTGGATCAGATCTTTAGTCAAAGGCTCTGGGTGTGTCCCCCTAAAAAATACCACGTGCCTCGGTTTAAGCACCCGAACAATACCTTAGCCCTCACACAAATCGAATGATTTATGTGGCGCATATATATTTGTTGCCTCGTTGTGCCAATATTTATGTGTTTAAATAAATAAATAAATATAACCTAACAGAACACATACTCTAAACGCATCATTGTGAATTATTCTGAGTTATTTCATCTAAATATCCAGCTGTGGGTTATGAAAACAATGAGGATAGCAACATGGATGCCTGGGCGTATTTACGTAATACATGTCTCATCAACTCAGTCGGTAACGACTCATTACCTAATCGATCGATTTGCTGTCCTTTCCCAGTAGCCTGAGTTTAATCCGAATATTGTTCACTTGATGGTTTTAACATATGATCAGATGTTAAAAACCAACAAGTGTGCTCTATTTTAAATGACCATGTTTTGTAGTCATAATGTAGCTTGAAGCAAACTGATGCTTATTATACTTGTCCTTTAGTAGACTGATACATATCTCAGCTGAGCCACAAGTGACACAAATTTTCTAAAGCTAACCGAGATTTCTGAATCAGCGTTGAGATTTAGTCAGTCACCAAGTCACCATAGTTGATGAGACCTAAAAGTCTATGAGTTTAACTTGAGTTATTTTTCGAAATCTCTTAGTGATCGATCCAATGTTTTAGGTGGGCAATTACTTCACACTTGAAATGGATAGTCGTTTTCCTTGAGGAGTGGTGGATGTGAGCTGGCGAGTAGTCCCAACCTAGAACAAACCAAATGTCCCAGTGTTACTTCATTTTAATATTTTTTCAGTTCCAAATAGGAAACAAGATCAAATTAAAGTATTTTATCCCAGCCAGTTCTGTTAGGAATTTTCTATTAATCCCTTTGACATAATTAATTTAACTAATTTAGGCTACGATTTGTGAAATAAGACGACTTTGTGAATAAATTTATACAAGACACTAGGACTGTTCGTCATTTAGTCTCTAATCACAACTAGTCAGATAGCAACCATAATTCATTATCATAGTTTCATGTGTGAATAATCACATATTATTATTACCACATTGGAATATGGCCGGACTAAAACATGGCACAAAGCCATGAAGTCACTGACAAGTGGACTGAGTCATGTTGGTAGGTGTAGACTACCTGGTTGGGGACCGCGAGATGATAGTAACCGACGGTTAGAGACCTTGAATGACATGGCTCGAAATGGTTTGCAATAGAGCAGGTTTATCCATTCTCTGTGTTCTCCCAAATTCCAGTCTTCTGAATCCTTCATGTCCCTTTCTTTTTCCTCTTTCCAAATTTATTTCACTGGATTATACTTCTTGAATAACATCTTGAAACCATAATGTTTCCGATTACTGCTCATACTTTTACTACCTCTACCACTATGGAGTGTGGATCGACAATTGTATCTGTGTGCTAATATGGTATCCCAACTCGAACTGATGTACGTACGTACGAAGTTCTACGTTGTTAGTGACTGACTGACTGACTGATGGTTATCAGTGAAATGCAGAACCCACATTTTGTCCCATTCAGGATTCTTCGTTAGAATGTACCTGGATCACACAAACAAATTATGCGTTATTGATATTGACAACTGTTTTATAACCTCTAATTTGTGATCGTTGTAGATGTAAATACATCTTAGTTTTATTCAAATCCCGTGAAGTCCTTTAATATTTTGCATATTACTTACCCGGCGGCCAAACCAAAATATGGCATTACTCCTTGAAGTCAATAACTTCTAGTCTGAGCCATGTTGGTAGGTGCAGACTACTTGGTTGGTGTCTGGGTGATACGGCTGTCTTATTTTAAACTTTGAGATTAAAATCGCTTCATATGTTTCTTTCTAAGTACTAAATCTTTCTTCCTGTACTTTATCCTTATATGCAATCCTCATTTTATATATTACCACCATTGAAGTAACTACTTCTATGAATTCGGTGTTCATCTTGTTGTGTTGATGAGGTATGACAACTTGGACCGATGCATATATTGTGCCTGATCCCATGTTGTAGCTAACTGATTGACTGACTAATATTACTTACCCAAATTCTAACCTTCCATTAGTAGAAGGTTAAGTATTAAATATTAATGAACATTTACAGTTAGCAATTTGGATTATTCTCTCATTCAAAATTTACATACCTCGATAATCTAATCCATTCTCCATTAATGGTTCACTTACACCAAAACCATCATCATTTACTAAACGACGATGTAGCATTAATTCAATTTGTCCATCATTTAAACTTGTTCCACCTTGTGCACGATCTGTATAAATAGCTAATCCTAATGGAATTTCATCATTTTCATGTTTTTCATTTGGCTTATAAAGGAATATATTTTTTAACATAATTCTATTAATTACAGGATAATAATTTCCGGATACATTTTCTGTTTCATTAAAATGAAATGGAAGATTCCAATCATCTCTACGATTACGTAATCGTTTGATTAAACGTCTACCAGATGAATCAGTGAAAAATTCACCTAAAATTGAAGTTGAAAAAAGGAATAATGTTTTTCGTGGATTGGTTGAGGTTAGACATTAACACCATTGGATGCCGGTTCAGTGGTCGAGTAGGCTGAGCGTTCGCGCGCGTGACTGAAGGCCCTAGGTTCGGATCCCGTGAGCGGGATCGTGGGTGCTCATTGCTGAGGAGTCCCACAATAGGACGAAACGGCCATCCACTGCTTCCAGGTTCTCAACAGTGGTCTGACATCAATCGGTTCATGATCTCAATCAAAAATCATTTTGTTGTTTTAATATTAAAACAAAAGTACTGAAACTTTGAATGTATAACATTCAATAAAGTGATAAGTAGTGGATGATAATTAACTTCTATTCAGTTTGTGTTGTTTATTTGTATCTTCTCATTGTTATTTAGGACTGTAATTGATTAGTCTGTTGTTGGTATATGTACATCCTATGAGGATTGCCTTAATATTGTCTGAAGTCACAAGCTAGTAGTGGAATCCAGTTTGACGCAGGTTTCGTCCTATTTGGAACTCATTAACTAGACAAATCTGCATCTCAGAGTTGATGTTCACTGTGGGACTCGGACCTAGTACCATTCACTTCAAACGCTATAGCGTTATCCACTTACTTAATTAGTCCAGATAGCCACTTGTTTGTGAAATAGGGTAAAATTTAAATTCACTTTGTATTGTCCACTTGAATCTTCTCATTGATGTTGATTATTGCGATTGATCAGTCTCTTGTTGGTATATTTACATAATGTGCGGACTGCTTTGGTATTACCCTAAATCACAAGTACTATAAGCAAAGATAAATGGTGGCCAGTAGTGAAATCTAGGACGTGCGTTTTATCCTATTCGGGACTCAGAGTTGATGTTCATTTGGGACTCGAATCTAGTACTATTTGCTTCAAACACCATCGCTTCTATTTACTAAGTCACTATAAAATTAACAAAATAATCAATCATTTAGGAAAATCAAATTCACATGGTACAGTATCTCCATGAAGTAAATAATAATCTTGTACTATTTAGGAACTCATATCTAAATAGGTTTTATGAAGTTCTCATGGGATTTTTTTCCAAGTTGTAAATGAGATAATTATTCATCCATACTGTTGAATAATATCACAAACTAACTGAAAGTGACAGTAAAATAAAATGATGACTTAATTGTATTATTCCAGTCTCTATTAAATACATTGTTGGCTAGTGTTTAAGGACTACTGAAAAAGTTCCTAAACTAAGAAGTAGCAATGATTTGAAGTTCATTGACTCTCAGTATTTATTCGAATTAACTAACTGATTTTCTTTATTTGGAAATTTTTTATTAGAATTTAGTACGTAAGCATGATGGGGTTAGTATCCATTGATAACATGTAAATGAGTTCTTCATGATGTCAATACTGTTCTAATAATTGATTAGTGATATCGTAGCTACAACTATCGCGTTGATAGTTAGCAACCACTCAACTTAGATTCAAAGTTTTCTGGCCATCAACACAAAACACATAACACAAATACAGCTTCATATACACTCAATCTATACTTATACTTGTTAAAATCATATAAGACTGAATCCCACTTTTGTAAAAGAATATATGGGTATGGCACTTCCAAATATTAATCGTATTTATGGTAAACCAAAACAGAGAACTACCGTTAAATCAACTCATGTAACATTTTCCATACAAAGTCAGTAAATCAATGAGATAAAAATCCATAAAAACACAAGATGAATGTTTCCAAGAGAAAGTCACTTGTCTTTTTAGCTTAATACAAATCTGTGAATTAAACGGTCCTTTCTATCTCTGTACATGGTAAAATCTCCTTCTATAGATATATATAAATGAGGATTGGACTAACTTACAGTATAATAGCAACTAATTTAATCTTTTATTTTTTACCAACTAAATATAAATAAGTGGAAGATCGAAAGAATGAAAGACTCAAATCGATCAACCAGTCAGTAAAATAAATGGCATAATTTAACAGAATATTCGATCAAATCGCCCTTAACTGCCCTGGTACGGTCACGGATGGGGAGAGTTCACTCTCCCACTCCACATGCTCTCACATGGACACGCGTATACAGCCACTGCCAATGAAGTCCTACTCACTGTCTTCTCGTGATGGAGGTGTTGTTTACGAAATTGAGAGGATGAAAAGAGAATGTCTGGTGCATTAACCGGGTTGGTAGATGTGGAGGATTCACTTAAGTGAGTTGGAAAACTCTGATTCGAAACCAATGGTGCACATGGTTTCCAGGATCCTGAGGGAACAAATGGCGTTTGAAGTAATAGTTTGTCACGGGCTACCATGTTAGTGCATCTCCTTATGTTGCTCCATTGCTTTTTGGAATAGACCATTAGGCCGAAGACTCCGTGCGTGGCACCCTAAGAAAACTATCGGCTTCGGTTTGGGCACCGGATCAGTATCACAGACCACATACAAACCAAGTGACTTGTGTGGTTGATATGTATTCGGTGCCCAATCGTACCAATATTTATATGTTCAAATAAATAAGTAAATAAACGGTCAAATTAAAAGTACCTGGATTTTTCACAAACATATTATCACCATTCAGTGTATATCGTATCACCAGTTCACGACTGTTTAAATGTCCATCATCCGGTATAGGACCAGCTGTCCATTCTACCTCTAATTCTCCATTATTATAAAGGCGTACAACTAAAGATGCCCATGATGCATAAGTGAGATGAAATTCCTTGACACATGGTCCATCTATGGCCTTAAGAAATAGCACACAGAGACATGAAATAAGAATTGAAAGTGTTAAATTTGCTATCGGTTTTGATCTTAGGATTTATTACACTTGACATACTCGATTTAATTATATACTATGAAGTTAAAATTCTGGTAACTCTTTGAAACTGTGTAGACGGTCCACGAGTGAACTCGAGGAAACTCTAAGAACCTCAGAAAGAGCCGAAGATATTCCATCCAATCATCCTTTGGAAGAATATTCCAGAATCCCTACGTGTAGCTTCCCTATTGGAAGAATGCTGATAAACCTTTGTATGCGGATTGGATAACCATAATGATTATTTCGTTTTTGCTAAGAATTATAAATACTTGACAGTTTTGTACCATAATTGACACTGTTTGGAATAACATTCCTTTCACTTGTCTTCTGACTTCTCATTTGCAACTTGGAGAGGTTCTAGCCTTCGAGTGCTCAAGTTATACGTGGCACATTAAGAACCAAAGCTCTAGATATAACACAAACCCATGATACTTATTACAAAGTCCATCTTTGGAATTTCGATAAATACTACGCAATAGATTTATGTTTCCTATACCTATTCTCAAACGATCTTTAACTTACTGAAGCTCTCCGAATCTTCTATAATTATTATACAGCTGCTCTTGTCAATCTCTGGACTTCATTCATGGAGGTAGTGACTAATGGAACCAACTTACAGAAATAGGGTTTATTACTTATCACTATTGATAATCGATTACGTGTCAGAATTCACTGAGGTTGTGGATCTGAGTCATCGAATTCCACTTTAGTCATTTAATACACATAGTTCCCTTTATCATTTTGAAAACAGCAAGAACAAACATTCTAGCAGAATAGCATGAATTTATTTTTATTTCGTTTGGTTCTCGTCAGTCGCTTACAACCTGTGATATTTAAAACCATCATTACATAATGGGTTTAAACTACTTACATGAGAGGGTTTGGTTGGAAGTTATATTGAAGACATATTCCCATAGTATAGCAAGGGTGTAAATAAATTTATTAGACTGATATTGTACCTTATGTGAAAGGCATTCACGCAACATTGATTGTGACAACAGTTCAAACGGCTAGAAACAAGTGATTACATAATGAGTAAACATCGATGCGAATGTAGTGAGTAGAGCTCAGTTGATAAAATAAGATTATTAATTTGAAAGATAGTTGAAATAAAACTCAATGATGTGATAAATGCAAGAAAGAGCTTAAAGGAAAAGAGAAGTAAAACATATTAAGAGACAGCAAAGGAATATTAGTCATGAAGGCAAGGAAAGAGTAACAACCGTCTCCTTTCGAATACATAAGTCAGGTTTTTGACGCCTGATGGCAACGGCTTCAACAAACTTCAGAAGACTGGAGTTTGGCTGCTTACTAATCACGTTAAGCGACTGCAAGGTGTCCATCGACCTGATGTCCTGTATCAAGGAAATGTTTGGTGATTGCACTATTCAAAGTCTTTCTTTCCCTTATTCTAAGACTTTTTGGAACATGTCCAAAAAATTTGAGATATGCCCTCCTTTCTGTTCGGCCAATGTAGCTGCTTTGGCAGGTAAACGTAAATTTATAAATACAATTGGCCGTAACATGAAGAGGACGCTTATCAACCTTTGATTGAATTATTGAAGATGTTATTTTATACAGAATTAGAAGTTTGGCCTTAGAATAAGTTCGGGCTAGCGCAGTATTCAGTCTCCTGTTGATTGTGTTTGCAACATCATCACCTTTGAAGTTAAGATTTATAGATAGTGGTTTTTTATTGACTGTAATTACTTCCGTCTTGTTTTCTTTAAGCTTGTTATATTTGTTAATAAACTTTTGTGGGTAAAAGTTGTCTCGTAGGCATTTTTCCACGTTCATCAATTGTTTTTTCAATTTGTCGGTGGTATATATCCTTTCTGCCCTGTAAAGTAGTGTTTTAACTAATGCTTTCTTGTAACTGAGTGGAAAAAAACTATTGAAATTCAGGTAAAGGCCATTCCAAGTACTTTTTCAATAAACCGAACGTTTTATAGCAACACCAAAAATGTGGAACATGTCATTCTGTTCGTGTTCCATAGTAAATTGTATGCTAGGATGGGTGTTATTGAAGAGTTTTAGCTGGCGGATTGCATGCTGTTTATTGTTACACACAGTAAACGTGTCATCAACATATCTGGAATATTCCGTCTTTTCGCTAATCGCCTCTTTAAGCACCGTATTTCCAATATACCCTATAAAATATTTGCCAGAATTTGACCTAGTGGACGTTCCATTGCTACGCCGTCGATTTGACGATATATGGTGTTATTTAACTGGAGTTGAACGTCTATTGTGCACATTAATAGTTTTTATTTTGAATTCTGGGGCTGATAAAGGCAGGAGATCATAATTCTGACAAAGTTAACACGTTCGTAATGAAGTCTGAAATTCCAGGACTTGATGTTTAAAAACGTTTTAAGTGTACAAGTATTCACTGTAAACTTATACTTAAAGTTTGTACTGCTGATGATGTCATTCAGGAGAACAATGAAAGTTCCATGACTATCCAACCATCCAACTCACAGAACAAAACTCCATCAAGATATTCAATGTATCTAGATATGAAATAAACTGGAAAATATGATAGATCTAAATAGATCCATCAAAAGTACTTACATTTATTGTAGGTCTTGGAAACGTTTGTATAAATGTATTATTTTTTGGTAAAAATATATATGCACCAGATGATTGTGGATAAGATGTTTCACCAAAATAATATAATAATTCAATAGATAAATTTATAGATTCACCAGATTTTAAATGTTTCATTGTTATCATTAATGGATTATGAACATTTTCAATATATTGAATATTGAATTCAATTGTTTTAGATAGTAATTGATCTATATTCATAAAGGAATGAATTGATGATGATGATGATGATGAAGGTTCTTTTTGGAATGGTTGATTATATACATAATTCATATAATCTCTATTGTAATATGTAGTTTTATTAAGAGCTAAATAGAATAAATTAAATCCAATTGGTGATAATGATTTAGCATTGAATATAATTTCATAATTAGCTAAATGTTTATCACTATGCCTTTCTGGTATATTTAATGTACGTTCAGTAATTGGTACTAGTTGATATTCTAAGTTGTTGTTGTTTAATAATGTGGATGAAGTCGATGATCTTGATGATGATGACGACGACGATGATGATGATGGTAATTGACGTAAATCTTTTAATATCACTTGTAAATCAATGGAATAATCTTCTGGAATATAAATTGGTAAACGTATCCATGTATTTAATTGTATCCAACCTAATGGATTATATAAAATAATGAATACACCCCCTTGATTTAAATGATTTAATTGTGGTTTTATTCCTTCAGTTGCATTACATAAACTAATATTTAATAAATCACAAAATATTACATTATTTGTTTCAATGAATGGTTTCAATGTTGGTAATAGTTTAATTAATGATTGACTAATTAATAATTGACAAAATTTTGTTGCTTTTGTTAATCTCCATGCATAATCATTAGCAACATGTTGTTTTTCTGTACCAGATACAGCATCATGATGTTGTAATACACCAAGTGTTTGTCTTAATGCATCAATTAATTCATCAGTGATAATTTGTTTTTGATAATCATTCATTTGTGATAAACGATCTACATGTAAATGAACCTGAATAATGAAGAATAAGAAAATAATGTTGATAAGTTAAATGGAATTGTGAAATTAAAAAGAAACACTATCGAACCAGATTAGTAGATATATGGATTAGTTTTTTCAGTTTTCAAAGATGAACGAGGGACAAAGATTTAAAAAAGGTGCATTTCAGAGGTTTTGACATCATTCTTGATGTCTACATAGCTTGTGAGACAAAAGCATTAAGATGGTGAAGAAGATTTGTAGCTCAGTTAGATGATTTTGATGAAGTTTTGTTCTGTGAGCTGGATGGTTTGGTTGTGGAGCTTTCATCGTTCTTCTGAACGAAATCATAAGCACAAACTTCAGTTAAAAGATAAAAGTATGATATTTTTGAAGGTTATATGTAGTTAATTTTGAAGTGAGTCGATGAAGACACAAATCACTATTCATCACTAAAGAACTGTACGATTGAAAAGATATTTTCTATAACTGAGTTGCATCAACTAGGAACTTGTTGAAAAATGTAACGCATCAAATATTCTTTGCATTTTTAGATATATACGAGTGAAATAAGAAAAAATGGGTTTATTAGATTGTGACTCAATAAACCTGAATGACCTTGGTTCGATTCCATAGTTTATTATGTTATGTGGTTGGAGGTAATTAGCAGGAAAACCAGACCTAGGGTTTATGCTATTTGTCACCCATCAACAAGGAATAACCGACAATTTGAGGGTAATAATGTTCTCTTCGAGATTCGTACTCGTAACACCCAGTCTCACAACCAGTGATATCACCAATGAGCTATTCAGACAGTGTTTATCTGCCTGTAGAACTAGGATATTTTCACTGATTGACCCATGAATGGCAATCATTATCAAGTTTGTCTAGTTCATTTATATGGTAGCGTATATATGATATTCATTGTTGAATAAATATTTTTTCATTAGGATTAGACAAAGAAGTTTTATCATTAGGCCTCAAGTTTTGTGATAGACGTAGATATGTAGATCACCTGAAGACTGATGTTCGGTTTCAGAATCTATTTACCTAGACACAAGACTTAATACTCTCGAAAATGGCCGAACATGAAAGATTCAAGACTTCACTGGTTAGTTACTGTAACCAATTTAAAAGCAACAAGCATCACACAAATATTATACTGACTGATAAATATCGAGATATTCGAAAACTAAAATCTAATGAGCACATTTTTAGCATTAAACCTGATAAAAGATCGGGCACTGTAACTCTAAACAATACAGAATACATAGATAAGATGTATACCATGTTGAGGGATCTAACTAAATTCCAAAAGCTTGAGTTGTGTAAAGACCTCGATGATTAGACTGAACATCAATTAACTACGGCATTAAAACTTTTGAAACAACATCAGTTCATCTATGATTATACTTATAATGGGCTCAAGCCTTTTAGAACACATACCCCTCAACTCCATAGCCTACTTTAGGTTTACAATCCAGAAGTTGTTTCACGTTCAACTCTAGGTATGTCAAACTCACTAAACAATTCAACAATGAAATGGTTGGTGAAATTATTAGAACCATTACACTAAGTACAGCGTTAAAGATGTATTTGAATTTGTGGATATAAAAATAATATGAATACAAATGGCAAAACCATTTTATCACTAGACATAACATCTTTATTCGCTAACAACCCACTGACTGAAACCATCGATTACATCTATGAACAATTGCTTGGGAAGAAAATAGAAATAACGATTTCAATAAATAAAATAAAGGGGCTTCTGTCAGAATGTAATATGAATGTCTACTTTATGTTAAACAATGGGGTTTACAGATTAATAGATAGAGTAGCAATTGGATCACTTCTAGGCCCGATCCTTGCTAAAATTGTTCTTGTCAAACCGGAAAATGAACCGTTGAAAGATATCCTAAATAAGCTAGATTATTACCGTCGATACATAGAAGACACATTAATTGTGTGTGACGAAAGTATCAACAAACAAGAGCTGTTGAACAATTTTAATAACATCCACCTAACTATTAAATTCACCAGGAAAGAGGAGAAAGACCATAGTATAGCTTTCCTTGATGTTTTACTTTCTGGAAGGATAGATGGTTCTATAAAAAGAAATATATATTTCTAAAGATTACATGGACGGGTCAATATACCCGTTTCCATAGCTTTACATCTCTTCAATACAAAATAAATTTTCTTAAATATCTCAGACATAGAATTAAACTATTATTTTCTGAAGATAGTGTAGATAGTGAAATAGATTGACAAAAGAACGTGTTACGAAATAACGGCTATCCGGACAATTCCATCAGAAAATTCCCACTGGAAGGTATTTAAAAAAAGGAAATTGTGAATCTGTCATTAAAAAGCCCCTTATCTGAAACTGAACTTTAAAGGGGACATAGAGGGTGATATTTTAACACATCGACTCAAAAGATCTATCGAAAGGACGTTTCTCGTCATCCAGTTACGTATAATTTTCTCAACTAAACCAGTACTTACACAACAAATCAAGGATAGGTTACCGATGATGAGCTCTTGTATGTGTGTATACCGATTCAACTGCTCCTGCAGAGCTAGTTGCATAGCTCGTACTCAGAGGGCTTTATTCTTGCAGGTTCGTGAACATGCACCAGCATGATAGATAAGAACTTTTGTCTACATTTAAACGAATAGTTTCACAATATTTGGGCGCCGAGCTAATGTGAGACATTAAAGGAAAATATTCTCCTTGAAAAAGCTTGGACCAGATTGCCAGGCGAAACGTTGGATTTACTTCAAATTCTTTCGCTGAGATTCTACAAATACATTCTTCCTCTTTAATGTACCAGTATGGTTGCGAAAATAAGTTACTAAATCGATTAACAGCGCCATTCGTTCTCACCTGGTAGATATTGGACATTATATTCAGATAGATGAAGCTTTCTCTATTTTATATCAAGTTGCAAACAATTTACTTAAAGGTGCTAGAATACAGCTACTCTATATAGCTTGAGCCAACTGAATCAATTCCAGAAAACCAAAGTTACGTATCCAGAAGAGTTATATCTAGCCTCTATGTTTACCTTCGTCTACGACTGAGTTACCAGATACCTAGACTAGACATTATAAACCTCTTATCCCCCTCTAAATTCCTTTTGTGTTTATATCTTTCTTAATCTCCACATGAATGCTTTCTTATTGTAATTACCTTCATAGCACCTCTCTTATTAAATATCATACTCACACAACGTTATGGTTATTATTACCTAAGTTAACAAGATGAAATCCTTCTACTATGCATTTTATTCACACTATTTTTTTCATTTTTGCTGTATTGCTATTAATTTAATCGTTGAATTCACGAGTCAATTGAAGCTAGACCACGATGGAAAACCTGGGAGCACTGGATGGCCGTCTCGTCCTCGTACGAGATTCCTCAGCAGTGTACATCCACGATCCCATCCCACGAGATTCAAAACCAGGACCTATCGACCTCGCGCTCAAACACTTAACCTCTAGACCACTAAGCCAGCATCCATATAACTATTATACTGATTGTGACATGATACTTTATTTTAAATCATGCTGACCTTTATTAAATGACCTATCTAACTTACAAATAATACAGTTTTGAAATATTTATGTCGTAACCAAATGCAAACGTTCATCATTTTTAACAATATAAGATTGTCAAATTCATTAATACATGCCTTATGTTGACCTTTTGTAAAATATCACAATAATTATGGACTTATAACTGTACAGCTTGATGATGAAGTTATTGAAAACCATTGTTCATTCAAATATTCTTTATTTTTTTAAACACTTTTTAATAACCGAAAGAGGATTTTGTGAATATTATAGTAATTTAATAGTTGAGATCATGGATCACTTGAAGCTAGACCACCATGGAAAACCTGGAATCTCGCGAGGCGAGATCGTGGATGTTCACGGTTGAGGAGTAACACAATAGGATGAAACGGCTGTCCAGTGCTTCCAAGTTATTCATGGTGGTCTAGCTTCAACTGACTCATGATCTCAACTTTTTAATAATAACTTTTTAATAAAGTAGAATATTGATAGTTACTTTGAAAATTTATTCTACATCAAGATTACATTTCAGTTCTATCATAATGTGGGATACGTGTTTGAACAAAATAGTGAACACTGAACAATAAGATACTTTGATGAAGATGATACTTCTTTACTGAAAAACTGTAAGCGCTAGAAAGTGGTAATGTTGAATACTTTGATACGAAGTGCAAGTGAAAATGTGTAAATGGTTTTAAGGTTAAACATAACATTGATTCCAGCTTCCAGCTGAAGAGGAAATTAGGAAAAGACGATGGCAATGGATATGACATACATTATGGAAATCACCAAACTGTATCATGAAACAAGTGCTAATTTGGAATCCTGAAAGGAAGCGGAAAAGAGGAAGGCCAAAGAACACATTACGTCGAGAAATAGAATCAGATATGAAAAGGATAAATAACAACTGGAAAGAGCTGGAAAGGATTGCCCAGGACAGGGTCGGATGGAGAATGCTGGTGGGTGGTCTATGCTCCTTGACGAGGAATAACAGGTGTAAGTAAGTAAGTAAGTTTGTTTCAATTGATTATTTAAGGCAATTTACGACAAAATAGAACAATTTAATCTTTTGACCAAGGTCAGGATTTTCAATACAAATGTCAAGACAGTTCTACTGTATGGGGCAGAAACCTGGAGAACTACGAAAGCCATCATCCAGAAAATACAGGTGTTTATTAACAATTGTCTACGCAAAATACTTCAGATCCATTGGCCGGACACTATTAGCAACAACGTACTGTGGGAGAGAACAAACTAGATCGATAATTATCGGACGCCTAACTAAGACTCTTGAATTACAAACACGAGAGAATCAAGCTGGTTTCAGTCCTTGTTGTGGATGCATCGACCACATATTTCACATTCGTCAGGTTCTAGAGCACAAGCATACTTATCGGCGTCCGACAGTAGTGATCTTTCTTGTTTTAAAAGGAGCACCAATGACTTAACTACTTCTATGAATCCGGTGTTCATCTTACTGTGCTAATGCGGTATGGCAACTTGTACCGACACATTTATGTGTCTAATCCTAAGTTGTAGCTGACTGACTGACTTATCAACCATATTTAATCCTAATCTTCAAACGAACTATAATGAATAGATAACTCTGAAATATATTAATACAATAATATTAGTACTTACTTGTTCACACATTGATAATAAATTTGATGCTTGACGTACATAATATTTTAATGCTGGTCGACTAGTATAATAACCTGTCCAATATGAATGTGGACCACTAGCATATGGAAAGAAATCACCACCACGACGACTGATTGTACCAATTCGATTAAACTCATCATTCACTGCTTTTGTATAACATGCTGGTGTAGAATACAATAAATTAACTTGACTATTATTTAATTGTTGACGTTGATTTACATATGCAATTAATTTATCCATATTTTTATAATTTAGATTAGCATTTTCATATGTAAAATCACAACCCATTAAAACCATTATATGATTCGTTTGATATGCTTTAGATATAATAGATATATAATTTAAGAAATCATCTACTCTTGATCTTACATTATAACCTTCTAAATTAGGATCATCTTTAATTGGTTCATCTAAACATTTATCATCAAAACAAAATGATTTTGGATAACAATATGAATCATGAAATATACTTGTAAATAAACCATAACCAGTTTTTTTTAATTCTATATGAGTAGTATCCCATAAAACTTCTAATTGTTTTAATCGTTTACGTTTTTGTTTTTCACGATAATCTATACGTTGAAAATAGACAGCATCAAAACCGGCATCTTGAAATAAATCAGAATGATCACGTGAATGTCCAAATGGATCAATTTGCCATGCAACTAATGGACGTCCACATTCACCAAATAATTGTTTTAATATAATATGTCCATAAGTTAATTGATCAATTGCATCTGGATAATAAACAGTTGCTTCATCTGCCATACTCCAACCACCTAAAGCAAATTGTAATTGTCCAGAGTGAACTAAATTTTTAACTATTTGACGTTTAGCTAATGTTTGTCCTATCCACCATTTCATAAAAAATGTCATTTCAACATATGTAAAACGACGTTTTGAATCATCAACTAAAGCTTGTATAACACTATCTAAAATATATTGTACACCAGCACGTTGAATTGTATTATTAGCACCATAATAATATTGATCTACTGTTTTTAACCAGCCAACATCATCATGTGTATGCGGTATTAAATGAATATTAAGATATCCCGGTTTTCCTAAATTACATGATTCATATCCACATTTTGGACGATTAAAGTATTTGAAGAGATTCTGAAAGCTGTATGCATCAACATGAAGTATAAATATTGACAAAGAAATGAAAAAGATTATTAAAATGAATAATAAAGGTAATGATCTCAACGAATTATTCTTTAGATTTGACATGATAATCGAAATGAATCTAATAGTTCATATTATTTCAATGGTTATTATTATAGTTGCTATATAGTAACTACCATGTTCCCTATATATATAAATATAATTGAATGTATATATATGTATATGTTAGTTCCTATATAATTGGATATTTCATAATCAATACAATATTAATTCATACTAATATTCGTCAATCTAACTATTTAGGTTTGTAAGTATGTAATTATAAACCAAACTTTGGATATTAGCTGAACCGATTTCGTTGGTCAGAATAAGTGCAAGTGACAACCATCATGATCATTATAGGTAATAATAATAGTAACTATTAATATTACTATTGTATGATAACTATCATTATTGTATCGGTATCCATGATAATGTTGTTCATGACAAACATTATACAATGATTCTTATGATTGTATAATTCATATTTCAATTCACTGATTATTTATTGAAATTTTGTAGACATGACAATAGACTATAAACAATTATTGACATCTATAGCTAGTTTGTTTTGTTTGTGAATAATTCTATGTTGTTGGTATTTCAAATGATGTTCAATGGTGTATCAAATTCACAATTCATAAGAACAATGAATTATCCGAATCAATTGTAAAATGATATCCATTTAGTTGCAAATTCAAAGTTTGCTCTAACTTATTTACATCTGTTACTCCATATGGAGCATAGTCCGCCGACCAGCATTCTCCAACCCACTCTGTCCCATTCTGCCTTCCTTTCTAGTTCTATCCGATTTTTTTTCATTCTTCTCATATGTATCTCCTTTGGCCTTGAAGATTCCATGTGGGGGCTTGTCTTGTGACTCGGTTCGGTGCTTTCCTCAATGTGTGTCTTAACCACTTCCAGCGCTTCCTCCTGATTTCTTTCTCCACGGGGATCTGGTTTGTTCTTTCCCACAGTTGGTTGTTGCTAATAGTGTCTGACCAACGGATCCGAAGTATGCTGCGTAGACAACTGTTAATAAACACTTTTATCTTTTGGCTGATGGTTTCCGCCTCAAAGTTTGCTCTACCTAATTGAATTTACGCAGTCAGATATTATCACTGTCGCTTACATACAGAATCTAACTCAAACTCCAGTATTAAAATTCATTCTGATGAAGTCTTGTTCTCTGAGCTGGGTGTTTTGGTCGTGGAGCTTCGATCGTTCTTACGAATGACATCATCAACACAAACTTCAGGTAGAAGTGAATCGTTCGAATTTCTCAACATCTGGTTCACAGATTGTCCTGTACACCTCGATGTTGATTGGTTCTTGTTGATCTTAAACCTGTCATTGTTTACTTCTTTGTTTTACTTGTACCTCCCATCGGTTTGATTTTTGGTCCTATGTTTATCCATAATTTTCCTGATTGATTGATAAATTGGATCGATTTCAATCTGTTTGTGAATTACGGATTGACTTGAGTGTCAAGCTTCTAAAAATTCTCTGGTGTTCTTTGGAATCGCCTCTGTCTAAAATCTTCACAGTTTTCCAGTCGAATGTATATCCGTTTGTTGATTTCTTTACTTGACTTTGTTTCTGATGATGCATGCGGCTGGTATTTTTTGATGAAGTTGATTAAATAGTCGTTCTCTTGAAAGATGATCCCCATGTATTTTTCTTCATTTTTTCGTGCTGCAAGTGTGATGTTTGATATCTTAAATAATTACGTTACTATGTTGTTACTTAAAAGATTATTCCAGAATCCAAGTCAATGAGATTTACATCAGAAGGGTTACGTGGATTTTTTTTTAGTAATTTCAATAGTTGGAATCATAAGTCAGTTGAAGCTAGACCACCAAAGAAAACCTGGAAGCACTGGACGGCCGTTTCCTCCTATTGTGAGACTTAATGAGATTTATCAAGAAAGATTTGACGCCGAAATACAGATATTGGCGATCTGCTGAAAACTTTAAAAACAACAGAAATAAATTTCATTCGTAAAACATTGATCAGTATAAACTGAGATAAAAACGACCAAACTAACGAAGAGTGAAAAATTCAACATACATGTTCATATACTACTTATTCATTCTTATAGTAACAGAATTAGATGAACTCTTATTCTGTGGTAGGACAGAGTAAAAAGGTCCAATTTTTTAAGCCGCTCTTTGTGTGGTAAATCCCGGAGTTCTGAAATTACTTTGTGCTTTGTTCAAGATATCCGAGTCACCAATTAAAAAAGAGCTTGCAAAGAGATCGCAGTTTTCAAGATTTGTTCTCACTAAGGTTGTACATGCTGTAGTGAACATGGTAGTATCTAACTTAGTGAATGTCCGTCCTAGAGCCTTTGAGGATCTGAATTCCTTAGCTGCATTCTCTCGACAGTGCGCCGTGGTCTTAAGATCATGACCACGTCATATTTCTATGAATGGTAACTTTTGAGAACTATTTATGGGCCAGTACGATACATATATATTTATTGTATAATTGTTAAGTACCAAAAATATGCGTGTTCATATTACTCTTATTGTAAGCTTTATTTTGACCCATAGACAATTATTATACGATTTATCGTCCTTGAGTTGTGTCCAGCCCATTAATTACAGTCTCCCACATTTATAGCCACTTTTGGCTATATCGTGTACAAATGTTGTTTCCTATTTTATGGTACAATGTGGTTTGTTTCGTTTGCATATAAACCCAGTATGTTCGAAATACATGTTTTATATTGAAGAGTCTGAGATTGGTGCTCTGCACTCAAAAGGCAAGGCTAGGCAGGGAGAAGGACCGAAAAATCATTTAGACTGCTTGCGTGGGTTTATGCATCATTGGTCCGGTCGATAAGTCACTGTCCTCCAACGGGCGATGCCATTACGTCATATATTGATAGAAGCACAAGTCCGAAAAAATATAAGAATTGCTGGCGGTGTAAAACATTTTGTAGCTTCAATCTCCAAAAAGAAACAAAAGTTAGGTAGTAATTGGACGAAAATCACCGTAACTGTTTTGACAATAAGCACACAGAATTGTCTTCGATGTCCTTGAACGACGGTGCTTGTTGATAAGGCATGCTATATTTTCTATTGCCGTGCTGATTCATACCGATGCAGAAAATGGCTCTCCCTCCCGAACAATCGCAGTCGTTATTTCAGCGACCACAGCCGAGTTTAAAAAAGAATCAGTTGGAATTTATAGACTAATTACGCGCACGTCTGCTTAATCATCCATGTTTTGGGGATGTGACGGAAGTTAGTGAATTAGTTTCTTATTTGAGTACAGAGATAGAAAATGATTGCAGATTGAATGAACATGTCGGTGAAAGTCCCCATGAATCCTTGATATGCAGTAACTCAAACGAACCGGTAGTAGTCATACATAATCTATTCTGTTATAATAGACTCAATGTCAATCGGAGATCCTTGTGTAAACGGACCACGGGTACCACAGCACCTCCCTCATGCTGTACCTAATAACATTTATATCCCTGCTATTTTTGAAGCGATTACGAGTCCACCTAGTCTGCGAACGGAAAAGGACCTGTGACCAAAGACCAATAACTAGCTATTCTGACGCATCCCAACCCCGCTAGCTAGAGAGAGAAGTCGAAGTCCGAATGAAGAAGTATATTCCATGAAAAGCCAGACGCACGAGCGATGATAACAGACGCAAGTCAAAACGTTTATATACAGCACAAAGCTGTCCTTGAAAAGCGTTACAAAATAGCATACTAAAAGACACAACGGACCAATAGCGTTTAATGCTGTTCCAAGTGGGAAATACGACATGAAAGTGAAAAGAGCACTTTTGGTGCGAAAACAAAAAATCAGGTGAATTCTGGGGACCTAAAAGTCCCCCAGAGTGCATGTAGACTCATTTTGCTACGTTGACATGCATCAGTCATCCTTTAGACATGCTAATCACACTAGTTAAGTCTGCTTGAGGTGAACATGCATCTGCGTCTCCCGTTATTTCTTGCCAGATTTTTACATCAGCCAACAACTCAGTCAGTGTCACCAATGTAGAATCACAATCTTATTCGTTATCAATACTACAATAATATAACTAAAATTGTAGATTTGTTATGATGTAACTGATTAATCTATAAGATCTTACCTGGGAGTTACACCATTGTCTACACTGACCAATCGTATCGTAACAGCCACAAATTTATGGTGGAGAACAATATATTTAATATGTATAAAAGTTATACAAGAATGACGACGCCTGAAAAATCGAGCCATGCCATCCGACTGGATTCAATTCCCTTCATTCTTCCCGCACTCTCTATCGTTGAGTTTTTCTCGGCGTTAAATGTTGGATATCTATTTTCCCAGTTGTCTTGTGTTCAGCTCTGAGGATTGTAAGGTTAGGGCCCAATGTCACTACAAGTACATTAGATACACTTAGTTTTAGTTAGTAAAAGTAATTGATTGTAATAATAGACCGTGTCACGAGAATAAAATTAGGACAATCTGACACTCTAAAATTAAAGTTGACGGAGTAGTGATTAGCTGCTACAAGATACAGATGGTTAATCGGTAGTTAGTTATACTCCGCACACACTCTGCGGAAACAGAAGTATTAGTTTTATTGATAAAAACTTTTGTATGAGGATTAGTCATCCGTATAAATGCTTATTGTAAGATAACTTCGGCCTGCTAATACAATTACTGATAGCCTATAGGAAGAAGGTACAATACACTGCAGCCCCACTAAATGTGATATTCAATATGTCATTTGAGCAAGGTGTGTTTCCTATGGACTGAAAGGATGGGATCGTCACCCCTATGCATAAAACAGGACCGAGACAACTTCCATCGAACTACAGATCTGTCAACCTCACCAGTGCCGTGGTTATATATTGGCGAGAATAGTCAAAAAGACCATAATGACATTTGTGGAAACCAACAGCATGTTAAAGAGCGAACAACATGGTTTCAGAAAGGGTTTGTCTTGCACAAGAAACCTTATAGCAAAAAAGCGATGGATGAGGGCTCCAGACAATGGGAACTCAGTGGATATTGTCTACATATACTTCATTAAGGCATTTGAAAAAGTAACAACAAATAGACTGGTTTTGAATTTGGAAATCCTTAGTATTGCCGGACCTCTTGAAGATGCCACAAGTATTCAGTATTTGACAACGCTTTAACCAGTAACATCTAATGTAACTCGTACCCACCAAGAGAAATCAAATGACAGAATCGAGGAGATTGGAAGATATATTTGATGACTATCAATATATCAAGAATCGTTGATCTTGCTAGCGATTGCAGTAGATGTTGAGCACGGCGTTCCCACTTGTGATCTGGTGCGGATGCATGACCGAGCGCATTCAGCTAGGTGAGTCCATTAAAACATGTGGTCAGCATCCAATGTCA